GAGAGAGAGAGAGAGTTCTCAACACTGACGAGAGGAGGGATAGGGAAGAGAGATAAGGTTTATTGAGAGATATGTGGAGAGATATGGTTACAACAAAAGAGGGAGGACTTGCAAAGGAGTTATGTTTTGTTTAGGGCACTTATTGAGGTAAAAATAAGAAAATGAGGGGAAGAACAAGAGGAGGGGTGGGATGATAAATTTTCTAAGTTTTAGTGCAGCATGACAGGAAAAATAAGGGAGGGGCTACCATGAAATTGAATAATTTTTTATGGATCAGTATAATATTTGGAGCTACCATGAAATGGAATAATTTTTTATGGATCAATATCATATTCTCCCAATATTTTTCACTAGCTACAGGTTTGCTATTTCAGCAGATTGCTCATAAGGGATTTGGGGATTGTAATATGAGGCGTATTGCTATACTTGAGTCTAAGTAGTCGGCTCTTATGCCATTTCCAGTGAGTTATATATTACATTGAGGGTGGCTTAAGCTAGACAATATGGGCTTTAAATGTCCTAACTTCTATCAGACTTTTTGTTTTCTTTTTTGGTAAATTCTAAAATTTGTCAGCAATCCTTGTTGCACATTATGTATTCAATTCCAAGTTCAAGTATAATAATTCTAATAATTCATATGCATAGGTCAAAACTGTGTGGAACAGTTGTTGCCACTTATTCAGGGCATGTTTCATTTTAGACATTGGGAGGAGGGAACAATGTTTATTCTAAGGTTTCTTTTTCTATAACTTTTTATTGGAATAAATCTACCTGGAATTATTTTTCTGTGTTTTTTTTTACTGCTAATTGGTGAATTGTCTCACATTATTGTTTTGCTAAACAATAATTAACCAAGTTTACTGCTTAGTTCCATATGTTTGTTTCTTCTGGTTCTGTATAGTATTTCTCTAACTCGCCCTTTTTTTTTGGTTTGCAAAGTAGATTGTCTCTGTGATCTTGGAGAACTATGAATCTTTCCAAACAAGCTCAGAGAAATCCGATCAGGATAAGCCATGTTCTCTTGACTATAAGGTGCTGGAATTTCTCAAAACTGGGGACAATGCTCCTCCCATCTCAGAGCTCCTGGAGAATGTTCCATCTTTGCCACAGACTGCTCATGCCAAGTGTGAAATGGGTGCCTTATTATATGAGTTGATGTACTTTATCATTTTCAATTCATCAAAGGTTTTATTCATTCATTCCATCTGGCAGGGATGATGTGGGAAACCCCAAATATTGGTCAAGAATTTGCTTGCACAATATGGCAAAGCTATCCAAAGAAGCAACTACCATACGGCGTGTCCTTGAACCTTTGTTTCGCTATTTTGATAAAGGAAATCATTGGTCGCCTCAGAATGGGCTTGCTTTTATGGTTTTGTTGGATATGCTTTTGTTGATGGAAAAATTGGGTATGATTGGATTATGAAGTTTTAACTTATCTTAGTATGTAATTTGTTCCATAGTTTCTAATTATGCACTTCCAGTTATTTTGTCATAAGGGCAGAACTTAAGTAAATTTTGTCTGAAATGCAGGACAAAATACCCACTTTTTGCTGTCTCTTTTAATCAAGCATCTTGATCACAAAAATGTTGCCAAAGAACCTAATCTACAGGTTGACATTATTGGTGTTACCACCCGTCTTTCTCAGTACTCAAAGCTCCAAGCTTCAGTTGCAATTATTGGTGCAATCAGTGACCTGATGAGACATTTACGCAAGAGCATGCAGTGTTCTTTTGAGGCGACAAATTTAGGTGATGACATCAATAAGTGGAACCATAATTTTCAGTCTTCATTGGAAGAGTGCCTTATACAGCTGGCAAATAAGGTTATACTGAAGTTTATCTTTATTTCTTCTTTAGCCAGTCTTCATAACATAAAGCAGCTTTTTACTTAAAAGGTGGACAAAAGATTTTTATTTCAAACAGAAATTCAACTGGAGGGTAGTTGTCTCGTTCTTTGTTAAGAATATAATCATTATGGTTCCAGATCTCTAATTCTGCTAGATGCTTTTCTAATACTATGGCACATTTACATTCAGTTGCGTGAAATATTTATAACCCATGACTTTCATGTATTTGAAATAGAAACACACTCAGCATTTGGTAGTCTACCATGAACTCCTGATATTATGAACAGTTGGGTAGGATGGAATAGTCATGTTTCCAGGAGTCTATTTTATTCTTTTTGCCATTCCTGTAATAGATGAAATCTGGGTGAAATCTTTTCACTATTCCCTTAAAAGACCATCTTATCGAATTTTCAGGTAGGAGATCTTGGGCCTATCCTTGATATGGTAGCTGTGATGCTGGAGAATATCTCAACTTCAACCATAGTTGCTAGAACAACAATTTCAGCGATTTATCGTACTACACAAATAGTGGCATTCATTCCTAATGTATTGTACAACAGTAAGGCAAGTTTTACTGCTTAGTTCCTCGGGCTTTAGAAATTTTGAATAGCTAGTTCATAGAAATTTGCTGCTCTCACTATCTATTCTTGTCTTTTTGGACTTTTAGGCTTACTGATAAGATACTTCTCTTTGTGCATATCAGGAATTTCCTGAAGCTTTATTTCATCAGTTACTGTTGGCAATGGTCCATCCAGATCATGAAACACGTGTTGGAGCTCATCGTGTGCTTTCTGTGGTGCTTTTACCATCTTCAGTTGCCCCTCAGATTGGGTCAGTTTCTTCAGAGTCACCAAACGGACCACTTTCAACAACTGTCCCTGGCCTTTCTTCATGTGCTGGTCTTTTTGAAATGATCGTAAAAGAACAATCTTCCAAGCTAGGTGCATTGCCGGGAGGAAAATACAAAGGTAATATGATGGAAGATGGAATGAAAGAGAAATTGGTGCAATTGGGTGTTGATGCAGGAAACGAAAAGGTGAACAATGATGTAAAACTGTACACAGCTCATCCATCTCAAAGTCGATCTTATAGTATGAAGCTATCTTCTCCACGTTTGGTGACAGATGGAGGAACTATTACTGAGACTGAGAAGGATGCTGTATGATATGCTAAACTCTTCCCAAGATATTTACCATTTTGCTAAATTAGTTCTTCCTCATTGGAGTTTGCGGATGCTTTCCTCTTATCTTGATATCTGTTTTTTATTTATTTTTCTTTTATGTTTCTCCAGGAGCCAACTTCACTTCGATTGAGCAGCCCCCAAATGAGTCTAATGCTTTCATCCTTATGGGTTCAAGCAGTATTCCCTGAAAATGCTCCTGCAAATTTTGAAGCAATAGCTCATACTTACAACCTCATTTTATTGCTTTCTCTAGTGAAGGTGAGAGTGCTGCTTTTGGTGTCTTTAGTTGGCCACCAATAAGTTGATTATACATTTTTTTTGGCTTTTGGAAGTCTTCTTTCTGTTATTTGGATGTTGGTAGACGGCCCTTTCAATTTATGTCCACTTGATCTCATCATGTTTGTTTGTGCATATTCATTCAAGACATGGGTGGAAGTGCCTAATGGGCAAAATCTTGCTTCACACATTTTCCGGGACTAACCTGAATCAAGCCTTTTGTAAAATGTTTATATGATACTGAGATGATTGGCATCCTTTCCACAACAGAGCACACCCAAGATTTCCTTCCCAGAAAAAAAAGTAGTCATAGCCATAGTTTAAGATTTAATTGTTCAATGTGCTCTGTATTCTACTCTCCTGGTCATGCTTGTATTAAGTAGCCAGAAATAATAATTGTCCCAAAGTCTTCTAGAAATTAAATTAGTCTTTTTTTCCTAGCTCTTGATTAACAATGTAGGTCTACACTCCTTAAATAAAATATATTGAATTTAAACAACACCACCTCTCTAACCCACACGTTCACATTCCATTATATGAGATTCATTGTTAGTCTCAAATATTTGACTATTGTGGCGTCTGTCAGATGACTGGAATTACTTTGATTTTGGTGTCATTCTACTTTTTATGAACACTTTTCTTAACTATTCTTACCAAAACAAATATTATTTTCCTTCATCACAAAGATATTCTTCCAGCTGCCATTTTTTCAATAATACAATTGCTTTACTTTCTAGTTTCAGTTCCTCATTTTATGATCGGAGAAAAAAAAAGAAAATTATCCTCATTTTGTTTCTCCTTATATCTTCCTCCCTTTGCTCTTCCACTTCTTGAACAACGTCATGGCTAGCCAGATTCCAGGATAGTCATCTGCATATTCCATTCATTATTCATCACTTGCCTTGCAAAATGTTGTCGTGGTATCTTGTTATAATGATCCCAAAATAAGCATAAATCGTCAGCTTGCTTTCTTGGAGTATGGTGATATTATCATATGGCAAAATGTGAATAGCTAGATCTGTGAGGTAATGAAAATTTCAAGTATAAATATAGTGATTTAATAAGACAACTTCATCTGATGGTTTCATGTGCGTGTTTGCAGAACTCAAGTCATGAGACTCTAGTTCGAGCATTTCAGCTTGCATATTCTCTGAGGAGTATCTCCCTTGAGCGGGAAGGTATCTTACTCAAAATATTTGAGCCTTGTTGGTATTCTTGATACTCCATTTAGATGGTTTCTCTTAGCATTAAAAGTTTGTTCTTTTTGTTTTCTTTTTCCTGCTAAGTTTGTTTTTGTTATTTCTGTGCATTTATAGCCACAATATGGTAGTTGCAATTGTTGAATCCATTCTTGTAACGTTGCAAATGTTGAATCCATTCTTGGAACGTATTAACTTAAACCTGTATAGATGGAAAGTTTGGTCTACATCCTGATGATCTTAGTTCGCTGCAATTCATTTAGAAGAAAAATTATATAAATGTTACATTATGTTATATGTGTCAAACTGTCGTTGTCATTTGTTCATTGATGGTGACAACTGAGGAATGCAACTGGCACAGATGTAATCAAATTGAAGATAAAAGTATAAACAGGTGTATTTTCCTTGAAGATAAAAGGGTATTTCATGGTTATGGGTTGTACCTGATTGAGGTTAATTAGAATTCTTTGTAGTAGAATGTAACAAAGATTGAGATTATGATAGACAGGAAGGATGTTATGTCCTCCAATACATGTAATTTCTCTCTCTTCTCTCTCTCTCTCTCTCTCTCTCTCTTTTTGTGACCTTTCCAATAACTTTTTTATACTGATCATCTTCTGATAATCATTTGCAGGTGGTCTACAGCCATCTCGTCGACGATCTCTCTTTACATTAGCAACGTGTATGCTTATATCTCTAGCAAGGATTTACAGTGTTATTTCACTAATTCGTATTTTAAAGGCACTGCTTACAGATAGAACGGTAGGTAACTTGTTCTCTTGGTTGTAAATATTGCAATTTTGTACACTCTAGTTGAATATTCCCATGTGGTGGTGCCAATTGATCAATGAGAAACTGGGACTTAGTTACATTGGAATCTAAGATGTTTCTTGGGAGATTATGAATCTCCTGCACTTGAGTTTAAGATTTAAAGTGATACCTATTAAAGGCATGAAATTCTTGAATGAATTGATCAAGTTGGAGCTGGATAGTTCGTATGTAATCTTGCAAGGTTGTGTCTATTCATGTGACAGCTTGATCCTTATCTTCACTTGGTGGAAGAGAACAGGCTGGTGGCTGTTGTCCCATCTGGGAAACCTGTTTATGGATCAAAGGAAGACGATTCTGCTGCACTGAAATCCCTCTCTGCAATTGAAATCACAGAGGAACATTCAAAGGAATCTTATGTCTCCCTCATTATGAACAACTTGGGATCTTTGCCAGAGGTAGCCTCTTAGGGTTGCCATGCTGCTGCTTACTTTTTGCCTTATTTATGATACGCTGAACATTTTGTACTCCAAGTCTAAATGATGTTAAAGAAATATAAACTTGTAGATGAGCCATACTTGGAGTGGAATCACATTATGATCCAATGTACCATGTAATAGCATTGTCTGTTGGGTTCATCACCATCCAATGAGATGATAGATGGTGATGTTGAGCATGGGACACACCAGAACAGTATGACCCCAATGGTGGGTGCCACTCTTTTGACCCCATCCATCATGTCGTTGGCTGTGATGAGCCAATGGACTATGATTTGCCCTTGTCCATTGGATTATCGTACACTTTTCATACCTGTGAATCAAATAATTTGCTGTTTCATTATCAAATACTATTTGGGTAGGTCGAGTCCTCGAGCATAAGGCAACAGTTACTGGAGGAATTTGCACCAGATGATGCATATCCTTTGGGGTCACAGTTGTTCATGGAGACCCCCTGGCCATACTCCCCATCTGCTTCAAAAGATCAGAAGCCTTTTGATGAGGTTATGCATATCCTCTGGTTAAAAGTTTGCATTCTGAAATTCCACGAGTTAAATTTGTGGATTGTTAAGGTCCTTCTAACAGGTCTAATGTTTCTTTGATGCAGATCATGTCTACATCTTTCTGCACAGATGATGATGCTTCCTTGGAAATGTTTGGAAACCAAATCAATGACAGTACACAGCTCTCAGACTCTGAGGTGATAAATGTCAATCAATTGATTGAGTCGGTACGTGTTACTGCTTCATTTCCGAGCTCCTTTTGTATGGATATTGGTTATAATGTGGACATCTGAATATGTAATGTCTGCTGTGATTAAAATGGAAATTTGAAGCTTTTGTGTTATCATATGATGATGATCTATTTTATTTATTCTGATAAAATGCACTAGAATGCATGATTTATTCCAAATCTCTGTCCGATGCAACTGCTTCTCTAAAATGTTTTAACAGTTTTATCACATTTTGGATTACTTTTGAGTTGAAATTTGTAACACAACATCGATTGTTTTTTGAGTTCTAGCATAGGATAAAGCTGAAATGAATAATTCTGACAAAAGGTTATGCATGCCTTTGTAATTCTTTCTCATCTGAGTGCCTAATTAAATGAGGGAAATCATGGGAATGAATCTTTCATGTTCTTTGTTGAGAGATGTCAACGAGCACATTCAAATGGAGATTTGGGATGCAAGCTGATTAGCCATTCTCAGTCCACATTTAGCTTCCTCCCGTGTCTTTTCTATAATGCCACTTGCACAACAAAGAAAATGGGGATACCAAACTTCTCCATCCACTCCAAAGACATACTTACTATGAATTCTCCAACTGTGGTATAAGAGGGTGATCTATAGGTTTTTTTCTTCTTTATTGGTGAAGTTTTTCATGGGTTTTCTCAAACACAGCCAACCTTCCATAACAGTTTACAGTCTGACCTACTTGAGTCTTGGCAAGAAAATTATTAGCATAGACCGAGTAATTGTAGAGGAAATTCTTTGAAAGGTCTAGGATTCTTCTCTTCTTCCCCCGCCCCCAGCCAAACTATTTGCATATCTCGCATTCGAACTTGCTGCTTCAAACCCCCTGCTCACCATAAAAAGGAACATCATTTTTGGGAAACCACTAATTTTACTAGTTTGTTTTGGGTGGTCATGTGACTATTTTAACTTCTTGTTGGTTTTATCAAATCTTTTTAAGATTTTTTCCTCAAAATGATACTAATTTCTTTCATTGGTTAAGTAAACTTGATTCCTCTGTAGTCTCTACTAAACCAAGTGAAATTGAACTCGTTTCTGATTATTGAAATCAAACTTATTTCAGCAATCATACCAACTTTTACACGAGTCGCATGTTCTTGTCAATCAAGTACACGTCTTTTAACTTATCCCAGTAGCAGATGCCTTAACTTAATGTGGAATCAAGCTGAAATTTTGTCACTGGTTTACCTTGGCTATGGATATATGAGGTCTTAGTTTTTGTAAAATTTGCACTGGGGTTTTGCTTTTTATAATTCAGTCCATGTAAATTTACATATCTCTGCTTGCATAATGAGTAAATTTCTTCAGGAAAAAATAAATAAATTCTATCTATTGTCTTTTACCAATTGAAAACTTTTCACAGGTTCTTGAAACTGCCCGACAAGTTGCAAGTGTCCCAGTTTCCATGACGCCTGTGCCTTATGATCAAATGAAGGAGCAGTGTGAGGCCCTTGTTATGGGGAAACAACAGAAGATGTCTTTGCTTATGAATGGCAAGCATCAAGAAGACTTGGTGTTATGTGATTTGCCACAATATGAAGAAAGAAAAGGCCTATCCTCTCCTCAGAAGGTGAGATCATTTAAAGAGATCATTCTTTTTCTAGTTTACAAATTCAGCTTCTATAAACAACTGGATATTTACTAAAATAGCCCATAAACAAATTGAACAAATAGATTTCTTTCTAAATTGAATTATATGCACACTCCAAAAATAAGGCTCATTTTTCCATTATCATCATTAGAGCTTTTTCTCAACTATTTCGGGTCAGTATGCGAATCTAATCTTGCCATCTGCTCTATTAAAGGCCATACTCTCAATGAGGCCATAAGTCCTCATATATTTTCTCACTACTTCCAATCATGTCTTCTTGGGCTTACTTCTTTGCCCTTTGTCAGCCTTTCACTTGAACCAACTCACACCTCCTAACAGGTGCTTTACTTGGTTTATGCTGCACATGGCCAGCCCACTTGAAGTCTATTTTTTCTCATTTTATTACCTATTGGAGCCATACTTAAGTTTTGCCAATTGTATTGATTATGAATTCTATGCCTTATTGTCTTGCCACTCGTCCATCTCGACATACTCATCTTAGCTATGCTCATACTATGTGTATGTTGTTTCTTGATCATCTAACATTATGCCCCATAAAGCAAAGCTCATTTCACAGCTGTTGTATAAATCAGCTTCATTGATATGCGGTGATCACATAACACTGCAGTTGCACATCTTGACTTTCCACCTAGCTCGAATTCTATGTGTGACATCTTCCTCAATCTCTCAATTTTTCTGGATTTTCGACCCAAGTTATCAAAAATGCATTCTATTAGTATTTCTTGGTTATCAATCTCAACTATTTCCTCTTCTCTACTCCTATTACTACTAGACTTGCATTCCATATATTCTATCTCAGTTCGGTTAATTTTAAAACCATTAGATTCTAGAGCATCCCCTCCAAAGTTTGAACTTTGTGCTGACAACCCTTGGATCTCATCGATCAAAACCATGTCATCTGCGAACAACATACAACACCATGGTACCTCATCTTGTAAGTACCTAATTAAGTCGTCCATTATTAAGACAAAAAGGTATGATCCATGATGTAAACCTATTGTCACTGAAAACTCACTCGTATCTCCATGAGTTGTTCGCACTAGTTAGCGCTCCCTCATACATGTCTCTCACCAAGTCGATATAGTATCTAGAGACTCTTTTCTTTTCTAATACTCACCAAATTAAATCTCAAGGTACTCTTATCATAAGCTTTCTCTGGATCAATAAAGACCATGTGGAAGTCTTTTTTCTTTGCCCTAAACTTATCAATCAGTTGCCTTAGTAGGAAAATAGCCTCTATCGTTGACCTCTCTAGCATAAAACTGAATTGGTTTTTTGATACACTTGTTTCATGCCTTAGTTTTTGCTCAGTTACTTTCTCTCACAACTTTCATATTGTGGCTCATAAGTTTGATCTCTCGATAGTTTGCACAATTTATGTCTCCTTTGTTCTTGTAAATTGGTACCACAATACGTTTCCTTCATTCGTCTGGCATTTTCTTTTTCTCAACACTTTGTTGAACAACTTGCTCAGCCAGTTATTGCCGATCTCCCCAAACCTCTATTGGGACACCATATGGTCCTAAGGCCTTTCCTAGCTTCATCATCTTTTAAGCTTCTTTCGTTTCTGATATCCTAATCCTACGAATGTGTCTATGACCTCCTCTTTCGTTTTTCGTCATTTGATCATCATCATCATCATAGGCTTTTCTCAATTAATTAAGGTCGGCTATGTTCGTCATTTGATAATTTTTGAAAATAAACTCTCCACCTCTCGTTGACTTCTTTATCCTTTACCAAGACCATTTGATCCTTTCTATCATTTTTGCTAATTTGAAGACATCTTTTTCGCCGTGTCTTATTTGTATAGATTATGATATGTCTTAAGTTTAGCCTTACTATTTGTTTACCGTTTTTCTCAGCATTTTATATTTTTTTAAGTTTTGATCGATTTTATTACATTGCCAAGTTTTATAACATGATCATTTTTTGTTAATGGCCTATGAGCCTCATTATTCCACCACTAAGTATCATTATCAAACATTCTTTTCCTTCAAGTTTCCCCTTAAACTTCTTTTGCCACTTTCTTAATACAGTCAACCATCTCATTCTACATAATATTGACCTCATATTCAAAGTTCCATTTTCTTTCTTTAACTAATTTGTCCCTAAATAATTTTGTTTTCTCATTTTTTAAATTCATCACCTGTAGACAAGCTATGTTTACTCCCCTTCGTCTCATTTGTACCTACAAAACTCTACGCTCGTACTTGTAAGTATTCCTACATCGCATATGGCTTGACGAATTCTATTATCTTGGACTAACTTCTTTACCTGCGCTCATCCAGAATACCATGGGAACCTTTGCTTATTTTTCACCGTAATAGGGCGGCGGTATGGTGCGTCGCTTATTGGGAACGCCCTAGCAAACCCTTACTCATTTCTTACTATACCCGGGTTCCAGTATAACACGTCGCTTATGGAGAATGCTTTTAGCATAATTAAATAACATAGATTCAAGATTTATGGAAAGTTTTGGCAAAGTTTTATATTGACTGTCTACCTTACACAACCCACCTCCTTTTGGTCATTTATCTTTGCTTTATTTATATTTATCGGGAAATAAACTTTTCAATCTTCTCTCATCTGTATTTTGATATTTTAAAGATTATGGCTTATTTTGTTTTTAATGCCATTCACTGTAATTTCAGAAAATATATGATACTAGGAGCTTAGAAGAGACAGATGAAATACGAATGGTGGTCGATTGTTCCCTGTTTTGTTCAAGTGAATATCAGCAATCTTTCCGGCTGCCGCCTTCGAGCCCATTTGACAAATTCTTGAAAGCTGCTGGGTGTTAGTTGAATTGTCGGCTCCCTATGTGTATGTAATATCGTGAATCTCCGATTTCTAAAATGAATTGTAATATTTTCTTTCCCTATTTATAATCATTTTTTAATTCATTATTTGTACTTTTTGTCTCATATCTATGAGTGTTGTTGAAATTAAATGTGATTGTGTGAGATGGCCAAAGGTGGCTTGTAGAGAAAAACTATGTATATGGTGAAAGCTTTTTGAATACCCTGAAATTAGAATTATACATCAAAACATCTTAATCGATAAGTTTTTATGCATATCACAATCTCCTGTGGAAAATTTATTTAAAGCAGTACTTATTGATTGCTTCGATTGATGGGCAGGGCATTTCAGTTAGTGGGTTTGTGAGTTGTGACCTTAGGCACTGCCTGTTGATCCTTTGAGCCTTCATCCCTCTCTCTCTCTCTCTCTCTCTCTCTCTCTCTCTCTCTCTCTCTCTCTCTACTACTACGTACTACGTCTACGTAGTCGTAGTTGTTAGTTACGTTAGTTACGTTCGTTACGTTCGTTCGTT